TTTTTTGGTTGCAGCCATCATTGTTGTTTGGCGGGCCGGGGCTGGATTCGAGCCTGCCACCTTAGGTGTATGTGGCTGGTGCCTTAGCCGCTTGAGCCACAGGCGCTGAACCGAGCTGAGTCTTCAGATGGCAGTGAGGAACTGTGCCGCAGGCCTCTCTGTACACGTGGCTAGAAGCCAGAGGTATGCAGCAGAAGCAAAGCTTCTGGCCTACTGTAGGAAGGGGTGTAGGGGAAGACACTCACCGGGGGACAGCTGGAGATACCGCCACTGCCAAAGAAGAACTCATCCTTGTGTACAACTATGGAGGTGTGCCTGTCACACAGAGAAACATGATGAGCCAGAACAGTTAAAACATATCTGAGAAAAAGCAAATACCACACTGCAATGAGAATAATTTCTGCCCAAGGATATGACAGTGGTGATCACCCTTACACAACTAACAAATCAAAGGCATGAGTGGGATACACACTCCAGATGAAGGGTTCTCAATCTTGGCACCACTGACGTTTGGGGCCAATCGTTCTTTGTGGTAGAAGGCTGTGCTGTGCGTTTTAGGATGTTGAGCAGCACCCTGGGACCTCTACCCACTAGATGCCTGGAGTATCTCTCTCAGTGTGACAACCAAAACATCTCCAGACACTGCAAAATGTCCCAAGGTAGGAGGGCAATATAAGCCCTATGGGGAGCCACTGCTTCAGGACATGAAGGTCTGGGGCATGGACAGCTGGGTTTCAAGGTGGAAGACACAGACTGGAACCTGAACGCACAGGGTGCTGCTTTGTTTCATGAACCAGTGAAAGTCCGCAGTCCCACCAACTTACCAGATGCCTTCCAGTTGTTTCCCTGTGGAGAAAAGAAGAGAGTTAGCCAATTGGGAGATTTAGTGGCCCCTCAGTTTAAGTAAATTCAGAACACCACTCAAACCCAGGATAACCTGTTATAAATTGCTTGGGGGACTTTCGAGGAACACTATTCTGGTCCAGTGAGGTCCTTAGGTATGATAAGAGTGTGCTGTATTAAGTTGAAAAGGCTCGGCACCTGTAGCTCAAGCAGCTAGGGTGCCAGCCACATACACCAGAGCTGGCGGGATGGAATCCAACCCGGGCCTGCCAAACAATGACAACTGCGACCAAAAAGTAGCCAGGCATTGTGGCGGGTGCCTGTAGTCCCAGCTACTTGGGAGGCTGAGGCAGGAGACTAGCTTGAGCCCAGGAGTTGGAGGTTGCTGTGAGCTGTGATGCCACAGCACTCTACCCAGGGCAACAGCTTGAGACTCTATCTCAAAAACAAAAAAAAGTAAGTTGAAAAGTAATCAAAATCTAGGTTGGTGCCTGTGGCTCAGTGGGTAGGGCGTTGGCCCCATATACCAAGGGTGGCAGGTTCAAACCTGGTCCCAGCCAAACTGCAACAACATCAAGAAAAAAAATAGGCTCGGCGCCTATAGCTCAACCAGCTAAGGCGCCAGCCACGTACACCTAAGGTGGCGGGTTCGAATCCCCAGCCCGGACCTGCCAAACAACAATGACGGCTGCAACCAAAAAAAATAGCTGGGCGTTGTGGCGGGCGCCTGTGGTCCCAGCTACTTGGGAGGCAGAGGCAGGAGACTCGTTTGAGCCCAGGAGTTGGAGGTTGCTGTGAGCTGTAATGCCACAGCACTCTACCCAGGGGGACAGCTTGAGGCTCTGTCTCAAAAAAAAAAAAAAGAAAAAAAAAGAAAAAAAATAGCTGGGCGTGTGGCGGCTAGGCGCTTGTAGTTCCAGCTACTCGGGAGGCTGAGGCAAGGGAATCACCTAGGCCCAGGAGTTGGAGGTTGCTGTGAGCTGTGTGATGCCACGGCACTCTACTGAGAGCAATAAAGTGAGATTCTGTCTCTACAAAAAAAAAAAAGAAAGTAATCAGAATCCTTTGTTAAAAACATTGGCAGGGTGGTACCTGTGGCTCAAGTAGTGGGGTGCCGGCACCATATGCTGAGGGTGGTGGGTTCAAACCTAGCCCTGGCCAAAAAAAAAGAAAAAAACGAAAAACAAACAAAAACAAAACAAAACATTGGTATAAAGGTACCCTAATCTTATGCCTGCTCTTTCCATATTGGGGTCAATTCAACTTGGCCTTTTTAATTTCTGTCTCCTCTATTGTAAGACTATGGTAAAACAAATGTTACCTACTTCTTCACTGAGCTGAAGTCTTCAGAAAATGATAGAGCAAAATTTTGCAAATGCCATCCATCTGTTTAAGTAGTGAACACACATTTACTCTATAGGTCTATGTGCTAGACATGATAAGTGCGGAAATGCAAATAGGAACAGATCACTGTTCTGCCTTTGAGGAGCTCAAATTCAAATGGAAAGATACAGAGTCAGGGGCGGCGCCTGTGGCTCAGTGGGTAGGGTGTTGGCCCCATATACCGAGGGTGGCAGGTTCTAACTGAGCTCCAGCCAGCTAAAACAGCAGTGGCAACTGCAACAAAAACCAGCCGAGTGTTGTGGCAGGCTACACCTGTAGTCCCAGCTACTTGGGAGGCTGAGGAAAGAGAATCGCTTCAAGAGTTTGAGGTTGCTGTGAGCTGTGACGCCAATGCACTCTACTAAGGGTGACAGAGTGAGACTCTGTCTCAAAAAACAAAAAAGACACACACACACTTATGCAAATAGTTAACTGAAATACAAAGTTGCTAAGTTCTGTTAATGGTGTAAAAATAAGGTGGTGCTCTATGTAATAAAGAGCTACTTTTGTGAGCTTCAACTCAACTCATGACCAGCAGCAGGAATGATGGACATTTCTGCCAGAGAGAATATGACATGCAAAGACTACCTCCTACAGGGCATCTCAGCGATGCTGGCAAGTTAAAGAGCAGCCAGCAGGGTTGCTGGCAAAGGAGGCAGGTGTGGACCAGGAGGCTGTTAGGCCGGAGAATGCCTTGATCAGATCTATGTTTGTACGGGGTAACTATAGCCATGGTATAGCAGACCGTCCGAGGGAAGAGTTGCTGGAGGCCATAGCGACATCCACATAAGATGCTCAGAAGGCAGAGGAAGGGCAGTGAGAGATGCATCCGCAAACATCACCACTCACCTCTGGTCACCATTTTCACATCAATGGTTTATTGACTGCTACTGCTACTTCTGCTGTTTGTCCTGAGACGACTTCTTCTTTTTTTTTTTTTAGACAGAGTCTAACAGCTCACAGCACTTGGTCTTAAGTGATTCTCTTGCCTCAGCCTCCCAAGTAGCTGGGACTACTCTGGCGTCCACTAAATGTCTGTGTTTTTTTGTTGTTGTTGCAGTTGTCATTGTTCTTTAGCTGGCCCAGGCTGGGTTCGAACCCGCCACCCTTGGCGTATGTGTCTGGTGCTGTAAATACTGTGCTACGGGTGCTGAGCCTGCCCTGAGACTTTCTAAAGTATGAGTCGCTCAGCACTGTGTGGAAGGAGAGGTGAAGGCTGGAGCTTCTCCCTTTGGGTGTGTTACATCATCTTTTTTTTTTTTTTTTGACCATTGTATAATGAGTTTATTTGTGCTCTAAAATAATGAAACATCAACATGCTCCTTTCCACTTCATGGATTGTGGTGCATACAGAACTTGGACAGGAAATCCTTTGGCCTTGGTGACTCTGTTTCATGGAAGAACCTTATAACATGTGTCTACTGCTTCCATACTTTGTTTCTTCCAGTTCCATCTTTCCCTTAATGGCCAGGAGATCAACCACCCTGGGGTCTGTTACATGGGCATTCTTCACAAACGTTTCTCGGACTTTATCTCGTCCCTGTTTCACAGTGATGTCTAGCTGGAACAAGTGCAGTGTTCGGTACCTCCTGATACCAGGCACAGTAGTTTGTGCACCCTCTGCTTGGCCTTGCTCATGTCTCGACTGAAATGGGCTTCATGGAGGTGCTGGCCACAGCTGTAGCACTGCAGAGGCTGCTCACCACCATCTTGCTAGAGAAACCCATCATCTCCTTTCCTAGGTAAATTATAGGATTTCAAATAAATAGCTTGCCCTTTAAGCAGACTTTGAAATGATACATCAACCTATTTTCTTTGGAAGAGGCAGGAGCCGTGGCCCCTCTGTGAAAACCTCCTGATGGGCTCGGCGCCTATAGCTCAACCAGCTAAGGCGCCAGCCACGTACACCTAAGGTGGCGGGTTCGAATCCCCAGCCCGGACCCGCCAAACA